CCAATAAGCAATGTTTAAACAGTTTTTTGATACTGTTAATTTTCTCAAAATCAAATTTTTGGAAAATGTAATTTGAAATTAAATATTAAGTTTGCCTTAAAAAGAAAATACCCTGTGTTTAAGTGTAAAAAAATGTATTACTGCTGAGGCCATGCTAAAATTGTTCCCTTTTCGTACCACTTACCTCTGTGAATCATTTTTTCCCACAATGACTACAATGAAAAATAAGCACAGAGCTCGTTTACAAGTGGAAGATGATCTTAGAATGTGTTTGTCATCCACCACTCCAAGAATAGAAAACTGCAGAGAGACAGGCTCTTCCCTCTCACTAATKCAGTGTGATATTGACTGACTGACTGATTTGTCTGTGGTAAGAATGGAAACAAGTACAAATATTTACTTGTTGTCAGTTCTGTTATGAAGAATTTGTGAAAAGTGAAAAGTTTTATGTGAAAAGTTTGTGTTAACTTGAAGTGGCAAAACATTTGTTTTTATCATTCCAATAAGCAAGTTTTAAACAGTTTTTTGATACTGTTATTTTCAAAATTGTACATTTTGAAAAAAATAAATWAAAGAAAAATTAAATATTAAGTGTGTTTTGAATAGAAAATACTCTGTGTTTAAAAGTGTAAAAATTGCTAACACTATACAAATGTGTATATTAGACAAAAATATTCCTGTGGCATCAAAAGTATTAGTAGTAAAAATATTTAATTAGCATAAGGATTGAGAGGGGGTCCCTGGACTTTTTTTTCTATTGTAGGGCGTCCCCAAACCCAAACAGTTTGAGAACCCCTGCCTTAAGGAACTCCGGGCGAATCTCATCCACCCCCGGCGCCTTGCCACTGAGGAGCTTTTTAACCACCTCGGTGACCTCAGCACCAGAGATTGGAGAGTCCGACCCAGGGTCCTCAGGCTCTGCTTCCTCATGGGAAGACGTGTTGGTAGGATTGAGGAGGTCCTCGAAGTATTCTGCCCACCRACCCACAACGTCCAGAGTTGAGGTCAGCAGCGCACCATCCCCACCATAAACAGTGTTGGTGGCGAACTGACCCCCCCCCCCCCCCCGAGATGCCGGATGGTGGACCAGAATCGCCCCAAAGCCATATGGAAGTCTTTTTCCATGGCCTCTCCGAACTCTTCCCTCACCTGAATTTTTGCCTCAGCCACCACCCGAGCTGCAATCCACTTGGACTGCCGATACCTATTGGCTGCTTCCGGAGTCCCACAGGCCAAAAAGACCCGATAGGGCTCCTTCTTCAGCCTGAAAGCATCCCTCACCCCGGTGTCCACCAGCGGGTTCGAGGGGTGCCGCCACGACAGGCACCGACAATCTTACAGTTACAGCTCAGGTAAGCCGCCTCGATAATGGAAGCACGGAACATGACCCACTCGGACTCAATGTCCCCCACCTCCCCCGGAAAATGTTCGAAGTACCCCCGGAGGTGTGAGTTGAAGCTCCATCTGATGGGAGACTCTGACAGATGGTTCCCAGCAGATCCTCACTATATATTTGGGTCTGCCAGGTCTGACCGGCATCCTCCCCCAACGGAGCCAACTCACCACCAGGTAGTGGTCAGTTGACAGCTCCGCCCCTCTCTTCACCCGAGTGTCCAAAACATGCAGCAGCCGATCAGATGAAACGACAACAAAGTCAATCATTGAACTGCAGCCTAGGGTGTCCTAGTGCCAAGAGCACATATGGACACCCTTATGTTTGAACATGGTGTTCGTTATGGACAATCCATGACAAGCACAGAAGTCCAATAACAAAACACTGGTTGGGTTCAGGTCGGGGGTGGGGGTTCCTCCAACCACGCCTCTCCCGGTCTCACTGTCATTACCCTCATGATCGTTGAAGTTCCCCAGCAGAATGAGTGAGTCCCCGTTAGGAGCGCTCTCCAGCACCCCCTCCAAGGATTCCAGAAGGGGTGGGTAATCTGAACTGCTTAGGCACAAACAACAGTCAGGACCCATCTATCCACTCGTAGGTGGAGGGAGTCTACCCTCTCATTCACCGGGATGAACCCCAACATACAGGCACCAAGATGGGGGCAATAAGTATGCCCACTCCTACTTGGCGCCTCTCAGCATGGGCAACTCCAGAGTGGAAGAGTGTCCAACCCCTCTCAAGGAGACTGGTTCCAGAGCCAGAGCGGTGCGTCGAGGTGAGTCCAACTATATCTAATCGGAACCTTTCAACCTAACACACCAGCTCAGGCTCCTTCCCCACCAGAGGTGACATTCCATGTCGCTAGAGCCAGCTTCTGTAGCCGAGGATTGGACCGCCAAGTTCCCCGCCTTCGACTACCGCCAGCACACATTACACCCGACCCCTGCGGCCCCTCCCACAGGTGCTGAGCCCATGGGAAGGGGGACCCACGTCTCCTCTTCGGGCTGTGCCCGACCAAGCTCCATGGTTGAAAGCCCATCCACCAGGTGCTTGCCAATGCACCCCACCTCCAGGCCTTGCTCCAGAGTGGGGCCCCGGTGACCCGCGTCCGGGCAAGGGAACACCGAATCCATTTATTGTGTTCGTCATAGGGGTCTTTGGGCTGCACTTTGTCTGATCCCTCACCTAGGACCTGTTTGCCTTGGGTGACCCTACTGGGGGCATGAAGCCCCCCAACAGCATAGCTGTAGGAGGAGAGGGGAGGTTTACTCACTGACTGCTCGCTCCTGCAGCTGCTGCTCCTGCAGACTTTTCAGACCCGCCCTGCTCTGCTAACTGGATGAGCTCAGTGGTGTTTGATTTGTTGAAAGTTGCACCCCGTTTAGTTATAGATGAGCAGCTTTAGTGAGACCACAAAAGAAAACAACCATTTTTAATTTTTTTTTTACAGATGACGGAAATCCATCACGGCGGCGAACTTTAAGACCTGCAGGTTGATCAAAAATTTACTACCAAGTGAAATTGTTTGTTACCTTTCACTGGCCTTAATTTGAGCTCTTTTAATTTACTACCTTTTACTACCCTGTGGCAACCCTTTTCAAAAATGAGATTCAAATCAATGTTTTTATCACAAAAGTAAAAAAAATAATTCATGTTCTGAGTTTTAAAAAAGCTTGTTCTGTAAATAGTTTAAGTGCATGAATGAATACAACTCATGCAGTGGGAAATTATGAACTACTGAAGTATGCATGGACAAGAATTGTCATACTCAATAAAATTTCCTATGATCAAAATCCAACTTTTTATGATCAAACTGATTCTTTTGTCTCAATGGTCTTTCGGTTATTTATTTAGGTTTACTACCTAATGTTCTTGGCTTTTTTTCCTCTCACACAAAGTTAAACAGTGTTGATAATGTTAAGGCGTGTGTGTGTGTGTGTGTGTGTGTGTGTGTGTGTGTGTGTGTGTGTG